TGATAGTCAGTCAAATTTGTCGTCTCCTATCCTCCCTTATATTTCAATGGCTAATTTATTTTCCTCTTCTGTGTTTTCTCTCTATTATCGTCATTTTTTTCTTTTTTTATTTTCAGTACGTATTTGTCATGGTGTTTTTTTCTATAATAAAATTTACTTTATTTCATTTTTTTTAATTGTTTTTCTTTCTTCCCGTTTACTTTGTTGTCATTTTTTGTTGTGTTGTATTTTCTATTGGTGTCCCCCCCCCCGCCCCCTCCTCCCCGCCCCTCCCTCCCCCGCCCCCTCCTCACCCCCGCCCCTCCTCCCCCCCCTCCTCCCACCCCCATGTTCTTTGTTCAGTTAATGTATTCTTGTATTCTCGTTTTTTCTATATAGGTCATTTTGTAGAGTCAGGACCCAAGTTGTGAGAAAGTGTATCCCAGAATGCTCTCTCTCTCTCTCTCTCTCTCTCTCTCTCTCTCTCTCTCTCTCTCTCTCTCTCTCTCTCTCTCTCTCTCTCTCCCTACGATCCATTTTCCTCTCACCTTCCTCCTCCCCTCTTCCTCTTTCCTTGTCCCCCTCCACCTCTCCATTCTCTCACCCAACCATCCATCGCCCCTCCCTTCCCCCCTCTCCCTTCTCACCTTCCCTCCCTCTCACCTTCCCTCCCTCTCACCTTCCCTCCCTCTCACCTTCCCTCCCTCTCACCTTCCCTCCCTCTCTCCCCTCACTCCCATCCCACGCTCAGAGTCTCTTGTAAATGTCAGCGACTGTGACCTCACCCTCTCTGTGCGTTACCAGGCAACGGGTGTGAGGGGACAAGGGTACCACCAGGCAGGTACCAGTAGGGTGTGAGGGGAGGAGGTACCATGAGGCTGTAAGAGGGGGGGGTTGTATGGTGATGGGGGTAAATCTCAAAGGGGTACCATGTCTGGGTAGATGGTAGTACCTTCAGTGTGGTACCCCTTCTATTGCCCTTTAACGTGGGGTAACTATTACCCTTTAACGTGGTACCTCCTTCTATTACCCTTTAACGTGGTACCCCCTTCTATTACCCTTTAACGTGGTACCTCCTTCTATTACCCTTTAACGTGGTACCCCCTTCTATTACCCTTTAACGTGGTACCCCCTTCTATTACCCTTTAACGTGGTACCCCCTTCTATTAACCCTTTTAACGTGGTACCTTTAACGGTGTACCTTCTTCTATTACCCCTTAACGCGGTACCTTCTATTACCTTTACGTGGTACCTTCTATTACCCTTTAACGTACCTCCTTCTATTACCCTTTAACGCGGTATCCTTAACGTGGTACCCTTCTATTACCCTTTAACTCTTACCCCGCGGTATTACCCTTTTAACGTGGTACCCCTTTATTACCTCTTTAACGTGGTACCCCTTCTATTACCCTTTAACGCAAAACCCCTTCTATTATCCTTTAACGTGGTACCCTTCTATTATCCTTAACGTGGTACCCCTTCATTACCTTAACGTGGTGTATAAGGGGTACATAAGGGTACCAACAGGTCACAGATAAAGGAGGAGGGAGAAGGGATGGAGGGGAAGGAGGAGAGGTGATGAGGAAGGGAGGGAAGAAGGATTGAGGGAGAGGAGGAGGGAAGGTGAAGGGATGGGGAGGAAGAAGGGGTGGAGGGAGGGAGGAGGGGAAGGGGATGGGAGGGAAGGGGTGGAGGTGGGAGGAGGGAGAAGGGTGAAGGATGGGAGGAAGAAGGGGTGGAGGAGAGGGAGGGGGGGAAGGGTGAAGGGGATGGGGAGGAAGAAGGGGTGGAGGTGGAGGGAGGAGGGAAGGGTGAAGGGATGGGGAGTGAAGAAGGGGTGGAGGTGGAGGAGGGAGGAATGGGGATGGGGCAGAGGTAAATCATCGTACCATGCTATGAGACGAAGGAAGAATAAAGTTCAATTATCAGAAAAATAGAGAGTGTGTGTGTGTGTGTGTGTGTGTGTGTCTGTGTGTGTGTGTGTGTGTGTGTGTGTGTGTGTGTGTGTGTGTGTGTGTGGTGTGTGTGTGTGTGTGTGTGTGTGTGTGTGTGTGTGTGTGTGTGGGTGTGTGTGTGTGTGTGTGTGTGTGTGTGTGTGTGTGTGTGTGTGTGTGTGTGTGTGTGTGTGTGTGTGTGTGTGTGTGTGTGTGTGTGTGTGTGTGTGTGTGTGTGTGTGTGGGTGTGTGTGTGTGTGTGTGTGTGTGTGTGTGTGTGTGCATGTGAGATTTTGGGTTGTGTGTGTGTGTGTGTGTGCATGTGAGATTTTGGGTTAATTCCTCTGCGTGTTAATTGTGTTGTTCAGTTTCGTGGTCTATGTATTTGGCGACACTGTGACCCATGATTTGGTGCTATATGGCTATTTTATTTTTAACCCACTAGTTGGCCCATTATTTGGTGGGTGTTAGTAAACATTAACAAGTGTTTTGCTACAAATGTGTGTACATATATTTGTAAACATTAACAGGTTGTGTCTTGATACAGGTGTGTACTAATATACATTAACAGTTGTTTCTTTCTACAGGTGTCCACGAGACGAGGACAGCGGCAGCGTGGGGTCATGCAGCCCCCCTCCATCCCCCCTCACCTCGGCACCCTCTCCCGCCCACCCCGCGGCCTCAGCTGACAGCGAGGCCCTGGCCCACCTTGCCTCCCCACCCACCACCCTCCAGGTGCCGCCCGCCCACCCAGGACTCACCCTCTCTGGCCTCATGGGGTTGCCGCTCAAACCTCTCAACGCTGCAGAGGTTGTGGAGATTGGGGAGGTGCGCAGGCAGGGGGGTGAGCAGGAACTAGATCCTGGGGTAGCAGAACTGCTAGGGACGGCCGACGAGCGCACTGCGGCTCTCAGGACGTCACAACGCTTCTATCTGCGGTTGGTACAATGGCTTGGGCGCAAACGTAGACCAGGACGTACACCCAAGTCGGCTGAGCATCACGCTAAAGTGCATTACGGGCTGCGGACTGATGCTCCACCTCATGATTCCAAGACGGCTCGTAAAAGATTCGCCGACCTGTTGCGTCGTGCTGCCCGGGGCGGTTCATGGGAGGAAGGCCGGACTTTGCTGGCACAACAGGAGAGTGGGTACTCCTCGCCTAACATATCCGCACAGCACACACCCACCGCTCACCACCGCCTCGTCAACCCACCGGGCTACATGCGACGTTCTCTAGAACTATCACCTCAGCGGGCACCGTCCACCAGACCCCGAATGTCCCTTCCAGCTGATCACCTCAGACGCACCCTCGACGGTCGCTTTTCCGCTCAGGCAGCAGAGCGCCGACGACGCCTTTCTCGTGGTAAAACAATTAGTCAGGATGAAGGATTCCCTCCCGCTCCACCACAGACTCTGACAACGCCACAAGAAACGAATTGTAGTGGACGGCCGAACACCCCGCTGGTGACAAGTGCTCGCAGGATGTCCAGACCAGGGTCGTCCAGCAGAGAGGAGAGCACAGGTGAAGAGAGTGGGTTCGAAGAGGAGGAGCCTGTGGAGGTTAGGGTTCCACCTCTGGTACTGGAGGAGCGCCGTGATTCAGGTTCCTCCACCACACAGACAGCCACCAGCCATGACCCTTTATCAGAGTGGGCCATATCCTGGGACCAACTACGATTTGGCCATGTTCTTCGACGTGGGTCCACCACCAACATCTACAGGTATGTTTAGCATATCTAATATCATCATAGTTAGAAAGTGATAATGTTGTTTTGATCTACTGAATGTCTAAATGTAAATTTGTTTAACAATATATATATATATATATATATATATATATATATATATATATATATATATATATATATATATATATATATATATATATATATATATATATATATATATAAAAGCAAAACAGACTAACATATCTTATGTCACAGGGGTCGTTGGCATGGTGATGTCATGATCCATACTTTCGACGGCTCTGACACCACCACAGAACGCCGTTTTTGGGACCTGGTATCGAGTCTGTCCATGATCCGCCATGAGAACATTGTGCTGTTCATGGGGGCATGTATGGTGCCGCCCAACCTGGCCATTGTGACGGGTGTCCGGCGAGGCATGTCACTCCACCAACACACCACCTCCAGGGGCTCCATCCCTTATCCATCTCGGGTCAACATTGCTCGGCAGGTGAGAACTCAGACTTATGTGAAAGAGCAAATCTTGTTTTTGTTACCAATTTGCCTTGTAACAATTTCCTTGAGTAAGTAATTCAAGCAATGGTTATACAAAATAAAAAGCTTAGTGTTATTTGGGGGCTGTGGGACTTAGCGCACCACTTTCACTACTACTGTACTTGGCAATGGAACAGCATAGATGATTAGATATACAGTATTGTATTAGATACACAGTATTGTATTTACAAAACTTCACAAAGTACTGTACAGTATTAGTGTGTTTTATGTTAAGGATCCTGGAATGCACAGTATAACTCCTCTCTGGCCGGCAGGTAGCGCAGGCCATGTCGTACCTCCACTCCCGTGGGATTATCCACGGTCGCCTCAACTCCCGCAATGTGTTCCTTGAGGCCAAGATCAAGTTGAGCCTCCTGGACCACAGCATGGCCGAGTCCGGCCCAACGGGGGAAGACACGGGCTGCCTTGCTCAGGGACTCCTCACCTACCTGCCACCAGAGGTTTGTGTTCATTTCCTCTTATTTTACCAATTAGCTAAGTTGAGTATCAAGAGTTATGTGAAAATACATACCTGAACTGATACATGTGCTGCACTTCTTGATAAGTTCAAGACAGCTTTAGAACGTATTAGGTCGAAGGGAGGGATCCCTATCATATGTGGTGTCCTGCCTAGAAGGAGAGTTGGCAATGAATGGTTGTCAAGGGCAGTTGGTGTCAACGGCCGTCTTGACAGATATTGCAAGTCAATATCAGTCCCTTTCATTGACAACTGGGACAACATTTGCGGCAGAAGGGACCTTTATGTTAGGGATGGGGTGGCAACCCTGGCTGGCTCTCTCGAGAGGGCAGTTCAAAAGATGTCGAAGTTATTAAACTGCTAGGAGAACATATGAGCACGGGGGTAGAGGAGACTGCAGTGGGAGTGGGTAAACAAAGTGAAAGGTTCCAGGGAAATAGTGTTAGGAATGATGACAAAACTAAATCAGGCAGGGAGTTATAACCTAAACGCGACAAAGAGGGGACCCAGAATACGACTAACTTAAATGTCTACTACGCAAACAGTAGAAGTATGAGAAACAAAATGGATGAAATCAGGGCGTTGGTATGTACCTAAAAAATCGATATAATAGCATTCACTGAAACATGGATAACCCTAGACTCACATGAGTTACTTGTCGAATACCAAATTGCAGGTTACAAATTATTCCATACCGATAGGCAGATTAGGAAAGGAGGCGGAGTAGCAATCTATGTCAGGGATAATCTGAAGTGTGAAATAAATAAGGAAATAAAAACTGAGCGGAATCAGAAACAATTTGGATAGAATTAATCGATGGTAAGAAAAAAATAATCACGGGAGTAATATATAGACCTCCTAATCTTGATAGAGTTAATGAGCGACTTATTTGGGATGAAATGCACAGGGCTTCCATGCATAGCAAAGTCTGTATAGTAGGCGACTTTAACTTTAGCCAAATAGATTGGATTGACCTTACAGGTAACTCAGAATCAGGGGATTTTCTTGAAACAATCCAGGACTGTTTCCTAAGCCAACATATAACCGAATCCACCCGGGGTAATAATATACTCGATTTAGTTCTGTCAAACAGAGAAAACCTCATTAGTAATGTCGAGGTAGGGAACGAACTTGCTAACAGCGATAATAAAGAAATAAGATTTCAATTAGACTTTCAGGGCAACCGCAAGGAAAATTCCACTAAAGTCCCAGATTTCAGATGGGCAAAGGAAGGCTATAGGTAGGAGAATAAATCGTGGTGAAGTACTGAAGTTTACCTCCGAGATTATTATAAGGTATTGGCCAGTAGGGTTATGACCGAGATAAGAAAAACAAAGAGGAATAATGAACTGAAGGTAGCAAGGGAGGCAAAGTCAAACCCCAAGGGATTCTATCAAATGTATAAAACTAAAATACGAGAAAAGATTGGATCAATACAGCCAGATACCGTTGAGCTAACTGATAATGATGGAGAAATGAGCAATAATCTGAATAAATATTTTTCAACAGTTTTCACCACCGAAAATTTAAACATGATACCCGAGGCACCGACTCTATACAGAGATAGTGAAGAAAACAAATTAAGCGAGATAGTAGTGACTAGTAATTATGTTAATAAGCAAATAGACAAACTAAAGCCTATTAAGTCACCAGGTCCCGATTAGATATTTGCCAGAGTATTAAAGGAATGTAAGGAAGAGCTTAGTATGCCCTTAGCAAAGTTGTTTAACATGTCCTTAAAAACGGGTGTAGTACCAGAATAGATCAATATCCTCTAACCACCGTCCAATCAGTCTAACATCAATTGTAGGCAAATTACTGGAAGCAATCATTTCAAATGCTATTCGAAATCATCTGGAGAAGCACAATCTAACCAATGATTCCCAACATGGCTTCAGAAGCGGGCGTTCATGTCTAACTAATCTATTAACATTCTTTTCATCTGTTTTCGAATCAGTGGACGAGGGGCACAATTATGATGTGGTATATCTCTACTTTAGCAAAGCCTTTGACAGAGTCCCCCACGAAAGATTAATAAAAAAGTGGAGGCTCATGGCACTAAAGGAGATCTAAAATGGATTAGGGCGTGGTTACAGGACAGGAAACAGCGAGTGAGCATTAACGGCACTAAATCCGATTGGAGTAACGTCACTAGTGGAGTTCCCTAAGGCTCAGTACTTAGACCATTATTATTTATTATATACATAAACAACATAAATATCGGCATAGACAGCAACATAAGTAAATTTGCTGATGACACTAAAATAGGACGTGTAATTAAATCTGACGAGGACTCCGTAAAACTACAGGAAGATCTAAAAAAAATTAAAATGGTCCGAAAAATGGCAGATGAAATTCAATGTGGACAAATGTAAAGTACTCAGTGTAGGAGATGTAAACAAGGAAACCAGATACCAGATGAACAACGATGTTATTGAGAAATCCGACTGCGAGAAAGATTTAGGAGTAATGATAAGTAGGAATCTTAGGCCAAGTAAACAATGCATATTTGCTCGAAACAAGGCTAATAAAGTACTTAGGTTCATGCAAAGGAGTGTTAGTTACAAGACTAGTGAGGTCATCCTAAAACAATACCTTGCTCTTGTGAGACCTCACTTGGATTACGCAGTTCAATTCTGGTCACCCTATTACAGAATGGATATAGAATCCTTGGAAAGAATTCAGAGGAGAATGACAAGACTAATCCCGGGCATTAGGAACCTTGAGTTCAGAGAAAGGTTAAAGCATCTTAATTTGCACTCCCTTGAGAGACGTAGAGTGAGGGGCGATATGATAGAGGTTTACAAATGAAAGTCAGGGCTAAACAAAGGTGACATTACAAAGGTACTCAAACTATCCAACCAGGAGCGAACTCGTAACATTGGTTTTAAATTAGCCAAATTTAGATTTAGGTGCAAAATAGGTAAACATTGGTTTGGAAATACATAGAGTGGTGGACGAGTGGAACAAGTTACCAAATATCATCATTAACTCGAATACGCTGGATAGCTTCAAACATATGTTGGATGGATATATGAGCGATAGGGGTTGGGTGTAAACGGGACTGCCCAGTATGGCCCGCTGCAGTTTCCTCCATTCTTATGTTCTTATGTTACAGGTATTATGTATTCTGTACAGGATTTTTGGAATGTACTAGTGGTTGAAAATTTTTGCCAATATATTACTCTGAATGACACTATCTACACAAGTTCTCGTTAACTTAGGCATTATGTAATAACATGAATTTTAGAGCATATTTGTACGTACTATTAATACTTTGATTATTTAGAGGAATCATTTGTCTTCATATATAATACTTTGGAGGGCCATACTTTGTGAGTCAATTAAGCTGGGATGAGTATTGGAAATAGTAGAGAGTTTACCCACAGATGGTCTTGAGGAGTTATAATTTATCTCTTAATAAAAGCCCTGCACGTTTTTAACATGCCTCCTTTTCCTTTGAATATCTAAGTGGTTAATGCTGTGTAAAAGAATATCAATAAAATATTGGAATGGCTAGACTCACATGGGGTTTAAACGGTGACAAAATGGATAAAATACCCAGTTGAGAATTTCACAAAATGTCCTTGAGGAATCTTGAATCCCTTAAAGTCATTAAGGATTTGAAGTTTTCTCTCGTGTATTTGAAGCACTCATTATGTAACCCTACTTATATATACAGTATTGATAATGGAATGTACAGTACACTAAAACAGCTGTAGTGTCTTTTCAAATTTCAACATCAAACAGGCTGAATTAAGGTCTCAAGTTTTCCTGGTTACATTTACACACTAGTGGTTGATAGACCATACCACAGTAATATTTTGTTTGGTACATAATAGGACAAAGAGGCCTCATGGCAACGGTTCATTGTAGAGGTCGTTTTGGTGTTTTTACATTTGTTTTATATTACTTACTCATACCATCTACTACCACATACCCATTTGCTACCACATACCATACCATTCTCCAGACAGATAAGGCTAAAGTTGCATGATAAGTGTACTGTATTTATCATGGGTTGAGGGGCATGATACTGTTTCTCTGCCACACCAAACAGGAGTAGTGTGTCCTGTTGTGTGTCTGGGTTCTGAAACATCAAGAACTGTATGATGGATTTTAACCAAAGTGTGAGAAAGTATGTGGGAAAGGTCATTACAACATTTTGGCAAATAGGCAATTTCCAATTTCTGCAAGATATTTTAAGAAAAGTTTGAAAGATTTTAACTAAATTTAATATACATTATTGCCTTTGTTCCTTATGTAGATTGGTTGAATCTTATCGGTTGGGGTTAGAAGGGTGAAGATCCGACTACTTATAGGATTTTATTGGAAAATAGTCTCTATTGCATAGTTGACTTGTGTGTCATTCACATTTACCAATCATAAGTGATGGGTTTCCTCCCTGGAAAATGGTTTTGCAGCATAAATTGAGTTCTGTATCACAGACACATACACTCCAAACACAATATCATATCAACTATTAATTCCTGATATGACCCCTTAGCTTACATCTGGGTAGCACTTTTAGAAACTTTCCTGTTATATAGTCTTGTCACAAACAAAAGTTTTATCAAATAAAATGAAAAAGTTAAACTTACTCAAATAGTTTTCAGATAGACTTCTGTGCGAGATCACCCAACATCATGTTTAATTGTGGAAGGATTACAGTACAGTAGTAGAGAACTCATTTATTATAGCTATAAGAATGAATGAATTGTAGTGTGTGTGAAGATAGAATGTGTGTATGTTTGATCTTGATTCTAGTGGGAATATTATTCAAATATTACAAAACGAAAAAAAATTGATCATGTTAGTTTCTAAATGATAAATTATTAAATAATGGAGTGAGAGAGTGGTTAGTATTATATTGTAGTTGATAAGCATTAAAACAAGAACACTGACAATTTTTTGTTTGCAGATGATGCGGACAATTCAAGTGGTTCCACCCCACGTGACAGTGACAGCATCACCTACGCAGCAGTCTGACGTGTACATGTATGGCACCCTTTTGTATGAGCTGTTTGCTGAGGCCCCACCCTTCGCTATGCAGCACCCTCATGCTGTGATCCTGCAGGTGGGCAGACGGAGGCAGCCAACCACAGGGGACCTCCAGTGTACTCAGAACCTCAAGGTAAATACTTTTATGGCTGTTATATATCTTATTTTAAGTAGACAGTGTAGTCATTATGTGTGTGTAGTAATTTGTGTGTTACTGTTGTGTACACACATATCTGTCTGTGTGTTCCTTCCAAGTGAGAAGTGGTCAATATTCATAAGTTATTTACAACCTATCAGCTTATGAGTCATTTGGGCGGTTTGTCCATTCTTTGTAACTTTATTAATTTAATTTTTAATGTTAGTGCAGAAGGAAACCAGAATACCCGGAGGAAACCTGTAATGTTTGGTAGGGTCACGCTGGATAACACCCTTCCCACTGTACCACCTCTTTGTGACTAATAGAATGTCAGCCCCCATTGGGACTCAGGTCTTACTATCTTTGTGAACTGGAACTCTACAATCCAAATTAGCCCATTTCAGAACTTTATAAAAGTAAATATTTTTTTGTTTCAAGTTGTGTATCACTCCACAGACGCTGATTGGTGAATGTTGGGATTCAGAGACGGCCCAGCGTCCAGTCTTCCCAGACATTCTAAAAACCTTGCAGCAGACACTCTCCCTCCACCGTGCTCACTCCACCTCAGAACCTGAGAGACTTAACCGAATGGGTATTTCTGGTCGGATATCCTGCTGACAGGACCTCGGCCGGCCCTCCCCGCCTGGCCGTTCACTCACTGAAGAAACTATAAAGGATAATCTCCAAAGAGAACCATTCATCAAGTTACCATAGAGGCTATGACTGCTTCAGTGGTACTTTCTCATGGTGGTTCCAACAGTATGCCATAGAATACTTGCCTGTTTCAAAGATTCACATTAATAGGCAAGATGATCTGCAGGCTTACTGGAGAGTCGGCATCTTGCTGTGCTGTCATAGCTCAAAAAAGATCAAGTGAAGTGGCTTTCATCAATAAAGGTCTTGTTATGATTATGGCCCATAAACCTTATGTCATGTTCTCATACACAAAATTTGAGAACTTTAACACAACATTTCTCAAGGTCTTTTTAACTATTGCCAAACTTCTAAAAGCCAAAGATGTTATCTCAATATATATGCCAAATGATATTTATTGTGAAAGTTGTAGACTGATGAGTTAGTCTGCTGGCAATGTTAGACTTGGTGAGGCAATGGGATGAAGTTAAATTTTTTACACTTGAGCCACAAGTTTTTAATCTCTTTCTGATATCGCCTGGAGACTCTGCCTCCACTCCCATCATGGCAGCCATTGAATAGTGTACAGTATTTTGGTTGTCGTGTGGATGTTGTCTGCAATTCTCTACGCAGGCTACATGTCTCTATACCTCGTTCGCTCAATGCCCTTCATAAGGCCAGCTAGTCTTCAACAGGTCTTACATTTACCAAAGTATATATACAGGTACTGTATCATATTTTCTCTATTGCTTCTCAGTGGGGATAATAAGCATCCTCCTTTCACTCCGTCTTCCACCAGCTCAAGGGTAACAGGAAGGGTTGTGTTCCTGGCCATGTCATGTCGCTATGAGCTTCCTTCATCAAGGAAAGCATAAGGTGACATGAGTGTACTGTCAGGCCACACCACAACCTACCGGCCATTAGCAAACTAAGAGACTAGGATACATTTATGGGCGTTGCTCTTTGTCTGTCAGTAATGGTTGATGTGTTATATATTTTTAAGAGAAAAATCTTTTTAAAATCCCAACACTGAAATTTGTCCTTCTTATTTGTTGGAATTTACCTCCATAGATCATGACATTGTTAAAGTTCTCGCACCTTATTCTGAGAGATCAACATTTTTCCTCTTGTAGATTATTTTATTTTACATTTGGTTTCTAGTAATGTATGTCTATTTAGATATGAAAAAATTGGAGAAGGATGTTGTTTATTTTAAATTATATCAACTTTAATGTGTGTCTGGCTCATTTTGCAGTGATACAAATGCATAATGTATTTTTTTGATACATTGTAACCCCCATACCACCCATAAATACTGTAATTAAATATCCACACATACTTTACTTACACATCCACTACTACTCTAGTGGCACACCCATATATACTGCTGTGCTTTAACCAAAGATAATGATGTCATATTCTCTCAGTTTTAAGTTACTCACAATCAGTATTATGCTAACAAATAATTCCTGTACACACCAACAATATTTTAAAAGCTATTACCTAGTCTAAAACTGTAATCAATGCTTAGACACACCTTATTGGCCAAATTTCTTTATCATTCTTCTAAAGCTTTATGGAAACACCATTATACTGTATATAGGCTTACCATTGCTAACTCTGAAAACCCCTAAAGATAATTGTAAGACTGTGAGTTTGGTTATAAAACTAAAAAGACCATTATAATACACAAACAACTTCAGGACTGAATGTCAGCAAGACAAAGAGTGACGTCTTTCATCTACAGCTTGTTGGCAGATGTGTGTGACATAAAAGTGATGTAACTTAGTCCATGGGATCAGCACTCAGCCTTCAGTGCAGGGTTAGATTCCAGCCACCAGAATGGGGTTATACCTCAGCATCTGGAGTGAATATGTGTCAGGACACAATAAAAAGTAGTATCAGTTTTCTTCTACCTTCACTGAAATTTACAAGTCTGGATCACATTGTAGTATAAGATCAAGCCAAATTCTTAATGTGTAATAATCAAAGCATCAGTACATTTGGTGCACAGTCTTATTACATGTCTCTTTACTTAATTAATGTTGAATTATACGTTTATGCAGGTAGATGATGCACTCCTCACTTTGTTGAATTTTATATGCTTGGTGGGTTGTATTAGAGGTCTGTTGATGTTCATCTTTCCTGAAGTTTACAAGTGATGCTTGTTGCTCTTTTTCCTTACTGCTAAACTCCTACAAAAACATGCTTGTCCATAATTTGAGGCTGTAGGTGTGTACAGGTATATAGATCCTTTCACACCTTAATTATGACAATTAGCTGAACACAATCTTTTGGAAACTACATGTAATCCAGACAGTACCAGTGGTGGAAAGATATAACAACTCAAAAGTCCTGTATTATAAGTGATTAGCAATACCGTAGTTGTAACAACCTTAACACAGTCAGCTGCTGTCAAGGAGTGTGTGCAGTTTACAACCAAAGATTATGATACTGAATCTCATCCTCATGGATAATTATCACTTCATTCTTTTCTTAAGAATGAAAATTACTACATTATTCTCATGGATAGCATTACTATATTGATCTCATGTATGATATTAACGACTGTATACTTGTTTTCTCATGATTTGTATTCCCTAATTATCTTTTAACAAATAATATTGGTACAGTATTATAAACTGACATGAATGTTATTCTACTTTACTGTTGTGAATGATATTACTCTCATGGATTATACGGCTTGAATAATATATTCCTTTGTGTTCTCATTGATGATGCTGTACTTCCCAATATTTGTCATGAATGAATTTACTTGTTCCTGTACATAACTTTACATTCATTTACTCTTATTAACTACTGTATACCACTTTATTTTAGTCATATGAATCATGTTACTGTACACTACACTGTTCTTATGATTAAGACGACCAAACTAATTCTCACGGGTGAAGATAGCCATCGAGTTACCCCACAAGGTAATTGGAGGCTGTTTCCCATAGACTCCAGTATTGTCAACAAAGTACAATTACTCTATATTTGTCAGAGGTGAATAAGCTTAGTCATTATTTTTTTTTTCTTATACAGGGATTTTTTTAATTATGGTTTATGTGCTTTGTTGTACAGTATAGTGTTTTTCTACCAGAGTTTACCTATAAAAGTTTATTAGAGGTTAGTGGAAAATATCTACAGTAGGTCAGTTGAAAGTCTGAGAGAGGTAAGTGGTAAAGGTTTACAAGAAGTGTACAGAAGGTAGTTTGGAATATTATGGGTGGTGCTGCTAGCTGTTAGTTATGATGGCACTTCATTTATTAATATGTTTTATAGTTTTGAGTGAACATTATCATTTAAGGGAATAAAATTACTGTGTACAGGGAGTAAACATTGTCAATGAGAGAAAGACATATGTATAGGTTTAGGTAATACAGTATTTAAAGTTTTACTTCGCTTAACTTGTAACTTCATCTCACTCTTTTTGTTAACATTGTTTTCATATGATCCTTTGGCTATGAAGCCCAAATTATGACTCCTATTTCTTGTAAGTAAGATGTACTGTAGTATACTATTGTATCAAGGCAAGAGTCTGATATGTAGGTCTACCAAAGAGTGCAGAACTCCCTATCATAAGTTTACTATCAGATGTCCTCTTTTTTCTTTTTGGGACAGATATTAAATTTTAGAACAAATCAGTGTAGATTTAGAATGGTGTCAACCAATTGGGTTCAAAAATAACTTCAAGTTCATGCAAACCCTACTGTACTGTGGAGGGAGTGCATTTCATGGATACTTGTGAAACTACTCAGTAGATATTGTATGATTCTGAAACTGGCTGGCACAACACGAGACCAATGTCACATATCAAACAGAATAACTAAGTGAACTGTATTTACTGTAGGCCTCTATTAACTTAGTCATATCAGGCATTCAAAATCAATATGACACCAGTTTTTAGTCCCTTTCAGTAGTCACACTATAAATATCTTCTTTACACACAGGTTCTTAAAGCTGCTGTGCCAACTTTAAACTCCTGCTATGGCTCCCTGTAATTTTGTGACAGCCCAACTAGTGTTTTGAATTCTTTACTAATGTTTTTTGGGGGCTCCCCACTTTTACAATGGTGCCACAGGTATCTCTTATTATTTGACAACAAAAGTTTCCTTCATAAGTACCTGAAACTCTTATATTTATAATTAGTAGAGATATTGGTTGAAGCATTTTTTTATTTTTTTAGAAGGAAAGTGTTGTCACAAGTTACTATGAGTCAGTGTATCCTTCACTTCTGAGATGTAACATTTTCATACCCAAGTACATCACCTGTGCTGTAGCTAACATGTACAGCTGTGGCAGCCAGGATATTCTTGACTTTTCCTTATTGTAGTCTCTGTCTAGACAATCACCCCTGATCTGTTTAGACAGTCTTACAAGATCTCTTTAGAAATCCTTGTAAGATTGTCTAGACTAATTATAAGATCTGTTTAGACAGCCTTGTAAGGTGTCTTAGTTGTCTTGTAAGATCTGTCTATACAGTCTTGTAAGTTTTCCACATGTCTCTATTATTTAGAGTGTGCAGCTCAGTGACTTAATATTTCCCAAGGAAAGAAATTAGCTGTCCCATGTTCCATGTTTAGCTGAACTAGCCCACATGTAATGCTTGTTGTTCCTGCTGTGCCCATCTCTGGTTGACCCCTCATACAGTATAGCCTTCATGACCAAAGATATGAAGATGAAATGGACAGTATCATATTTCCAATATGTCCTTCAAGCCTTACTGTATATTTTTATGCCTCTGCCAGAAAAAAAATACGATATTTTTTACCTTAAAAATAAGATTACTCTTAAAGCAGTGTGAAATCTCCAAATATGTACTATATAGGTTCTTTATATATTCCTACTTCTTTTACTCATTGTCTCCTATATGCTATTGGTGATTGTACCTCACAGTGTTATTGAGTGTAGACTAGATTTTAGCCTGTTATGCATTGTTTCCATTTTAACAATGTTGAGAGCATTAGATGGTACATTGTCAGACATTGTAATGTGTAATTTTTTTTATATAATACTGTGCTCTGTACTCCATGTTTGTCCCATAGCTGGTAGTTAGTGTAGAAAGCAGTGGTGACCACACACAACACAGCTCAGTGGTGTGCTCGCCTCCTTGTGGTATTTTTATTATTAGTGTTTTATGTCCTGTAAGAAGTTTCATTAGTTTTACTGTGCCACTAATGACCAGTTTTATGATTTTCTATTTGCACTTGTTATTGTATTTACAGCTGCAGATGTATTTTCATTCAATAAGTTAATATTAAGTCCATGTAAAGAGAACATACTTGATATTTGCTAAACAATATATATATATATATATATATATATATATATATATATATATATATATATATATATATATATATATATATATATATATATATATATATATATATATATATATATATATATATATATATATATATATATATATATATATATATATATATATATATATATATATATATAGCTTAGGTCTGGAAATAGTTTAATTAATACTGTTAGTACACAGCTGTACATATGTTAAGGCACATAATGACATCACAGCCACAAGGCCAGAAAGACCCTGCTGTCTGAGCTATTGAGGAGACACTCATTACATAATTGACTGATTACTCATCAGTTCTAGTTAAGTTCTGTGAACTTCAGCTCCATTTAGTATGAACACCATAAATGCTTACTTGTATTGATTTTTTACTAAATTTATGACGTGTGTATACCATGTGTTTTTATTTTCTTGTTTGGTGTTGTGGATTGAAATTAGGTTTAAGTGATCAAGTCTAGTGTATTCAGCACCATTATTTCTTCACAGATGTAGAGAATGAGTATCATTTGGAATGTGACTAAACTGTGTCTGCTGTGGGAATTGATTTTACCTTACATGAATTGTTCAAATTATGTTAACAAATTAACATGTAAAAATTCTTGGATCTCGGTAGGACACACAAAATACAGTGATTATTTGATATTAATTATCGCTTAGTGTATGTAAATCTTGGATACCCAAGGCAGCCCCAGCCAAGTGCCGTTCTAAGGTTGTACATGATTGTACAGAGACGAATGTGAACCCACCAACCAGTTGTTTCTTTGAGATTTGTTGTACTCATCAACATGCCATACATTACACATTATACATAATGTTGAAAATGTATGAAAGTATATATTTTCTTATTGTTGTGACTATTTGTACTTCCTTCACGTAACTATGACGGTTGTTGTGTACTTAAGGTGGGGAGGGAAGGGGGGAGGGCGGAAGGGAAACTAACAAACACTGTCATCTGAAGAGTTTTCTGAGGGATGTCCGTAAGTGGTGTCCAAACATGCTGTTCCCGCCTTGTGTCCACACAGGTGTGCTCATGAGGTGTCCTTAAAAGACATCTAAGATGTCCTCACGAGGTGTCATATACCTCAGGGTGTCATATACCAGCAATAGGTACTCTCACTGGCATATCCTGTCCTGTTGGCAAAAGCAATTAGAACCTCACACATCTGCCTCAAAATTTTAGGTTGTGTACCATGTGGATTAAACAACAAAGGACATAATCCAGACTTGAAAATAATTCTTCTCCGGTATTTGAGTTTCAGTTATTATTTTACTATATACTGTAATGTGGCAGTATACATGGCCATCAGTCATGTATTGTGATACTCAGCTCTAGCCAGGACTTGGAAGATGGCTTTGGGAGTTCATAAAAAAAAAAACCAGTACATCTTAAATAATAGGTTTTCCATATCTGAATTTTTTTTCTGCATGCATGGAATATTTATACACATGTGGCAATAGAAGACCCATTCTTTGCCACTGACTCATCTTTATAAATATCTAAATATATATGATTCTATGTGTCCTCAAGTGAAGTGTGTGTATAATGTCAACAAATCAAACTTCCGGTCAATGTGAAAGTGTTTTTGGGTCTATGTGCGTGTATGCATGTGTGTGCGAGTTCATGCGTGGGTGTTCATGTATGTGCACATTACCCAACTCTTTCACACTGTTGAACCTTTACATAGAACAAACTTGCTATATTCATTCCTATATTATATTTTTCTAAACTCATGTTTCATATAATTTAATACAATGTCTCATGTGTGTTCTCAAGGCTGGTGAAGGTGTGCAGGTTCTCACCCTCTGGTGCCTCATACCCAGAGCTACAGCAGTGTCAAAAGAGAGTTGACACAAGTAACAAATATTAATTTATATTCATGTAAAACACAAACTGATTATATATTTTCAAGTGTACTGTAGAGTATCCAAACAAGTTTTTCATCCATTTTTTGGAGGTTCAATCATATGTGTGAAACTAATTGTTACAAGTAGTTGCAATTAGGGTGGCACATGATTCGTTAACTTTTGAAAAGAAAAGTTGTTGTAAATATTATTAACACTTAAATCAGTACAGGTATTTATATTTCATTTATTTTACATTACAGTACAATATAAATTTTGTAAAATCTTGACGATAAGTCATGGACTCGGATTTACAAAGGTATTTCTTATTTCTTTGTAATTTAAGACAAAATAAGCTGGTTATGATTTTATTCAGCAGAGCGGAGACACCGGAAATTAAAACTTTACCATCATATTTTTTATAACTTATTTATTAGAAAGTTTATTATTTTATTTTTTTTGGGGGGCCCCTTAGGCTAGCTTTCTTTTAACCTCTCATCAATGTGCATTGTTACCACATGAAGTTCATCCTTCACTTAAACTTTGTATGCCCACTACCTTATTTTTTTATAATTTATTACTGCCAACTTAAAGTAAGCTTTCATCACTTTGTGTTATAATATATGGGTATTTCAGAAAATGTGTAGACCCGAGGCTGTGTTCCTAGCGTGCTTGGGCCTAATGTGTTCCTGAAGTACAGTTTCTAGTTAAGGTAGAATCCCAATGTAATTTAATGCAACTTTGTAGGTTACAGTAATTTTGTGTTTCGGCTTAAAGAACCTGGTTACTTGCATTCTTATAGCTGTATCGCCTTTTTAAAGAAAACTTCAATGAAAAACCTTTGAGAATCCAGAACCTGATCACAGTAAAACCAGAGGACCTGGTCGAGCTCTTCACCCCTTGAGGAACACCACTCAAGCGTTACCTTATGACTTTACTATCTACTCTGCAAATATGTCAATAAAGTTGTATTTTGTCTATTCAGGTGTTTCACTGATCCTAATAACCTGTAACATAGATACTACATTATAACGTGCTTTCATGGAGTTGTGAATCCATTCCCACAACACAACTGTCATAGTTGGAGCCCTCCAACTAGGCATTTGGTAGTTTAGCGAAATCTTTGAATTGATTGGTCACTTTCTTTCCCCTAGATGACATGGGGGAGTGGAGGCTGACGGCAAGCAGTCGTTATTCTGAGCTGGTTGGAGGTATACGCACCATCACTGGTTGCTGCCGGATTTTGGTTGTGTTGGGCAGTCTGGTGGGTCACGGATAAGGGTGGTCTGAGCCCTGAGTAATAGTCTCCAGCCGCAGTGTGTTCCCCAGGGAGTGGAGAATACTTCTGCTGTGTGTGAGCCCCGGCCAGACAAAAGACTGTGCTGAAAAGAGGTAAGATTTTCTAATGTTAATTTTGTAAACTGTTCATGGCTATTATATTCTATGATGATGATATTCTTAGAATTTGCAATTTTGAATTGTCATTGTAAATGTACGGTGGTGGGATTTGAAATTACCCATTGTTAAATGTAAACATAACTTTTGGTTGATTATAAATCGTTAATTTTTACTTCGTTGTTTTGATTTTATGATCACTGAAGAACCTGGATCCATAAAGTAAGGAAACGGGTGACATTTGGTGACCTTGCCAGGATCATGTTAATGTGTAAATTTGGATTAGTTTGCTTATTTTTTGATGAGAGTAATTTTGGTATTGTTAATTGAAGGGTGACACTTCCTCGACTTGACAACTATTCCACTGTCCATTACAGTGTTCATTATGTCTTCGTGGGCAGAATTAATTGGACTGAGCCGTGAGCATGGATATGAGGGAAAGGATTTGAAAATTTTTGTGATTGATGAGCAAGCGAGTCAACGAGATCAACGCCAGAAGGAGAAGGAGCGGCTACAGGTTGAGAAAGAAAAACTTCAGCTCGAACACTTGCGTCAGGCGAATCGGACTGGAGAGAGTGGTGACCACAAGGATGACAACGAGGAAGCTCCTGAACCAATTCGGGTGAAGGTAAAAGGTCTTAGGAAAGTGACATCACCACAGCCACACCCCAATTAGAGGGACAGTTCACGGTGAGTTTTGGTCAGACTCAGTCACTATGGAGACAACAATTATCCCAAAAGGAGTCTGATAGCTATTTGGCATACCCAGGGGATGGAATGGAGCTACTGAGGTCTTTCCCGACATTGTGACTTATCTCTCTAGCTTAACACCCCACTACCTGCATCTGTTTAGTCATTTTGGGCTTATTATTTATTATTTAGTTAATTTATTACACACCAAGGGGCGACAATCCTCGTCACAAGACCATGAGGTCAGACACTAATACATTGGTACTCATGTCTCGCAAGACACACTATGACTTGTGATATGAAGACAATATTGATATGATTTAAGGACAATGGGAATTAGCCCTCACCAAAGCGTGGGTAGTATAAAAGAATTAAATCTAAATTATTATGAATAAGTAGGTGGTGACATATACAGTTGGTCCTCACATTAAGCGGTCCCGCATTCCGCGTTTCACCGTTAACGCGGTGCCTTGCCAGAACCTAACATTCTTACATTCCGCGGTCGCGAACGCCATTACGCGGAGAGCGGCTGGCAAGCCGCGCCATTTTTGGATCCAAACCTCCCGCCATCCGCCATGTTGTGTAAGAGGCGCGAAAATGGTGCGCACAAGGTCGCCCAGTCATCAAAACATTACCGAGTTCTTTACCCGCCACCCACCACAACCGGCCCAAGTCAGTGATAGTGATAATTATAGTGAGGATATGGACTTATATGGACTTTGAGGGGTTTAACAAAGAGGCCCTGCAAGCCTCTGTGGTGGATAGTGATACAATTGATACCAGTGATACAGGTGAGGGCCAATAATCTGCCCTCTGCCTCGGAACCAACCCCCCATCCCCGTGTGCCCAGCCATCTTTTCTACTAATGTAAGTGTTAAAAAACCTAATATTATTGATATTTCTCTTAATTATTAATTGTGTGTGCATGCCATCATAAAGTTAAGATAATATTTTTACTACAACATAGTTGTGTGTCGTCAAAAAGTGGAGTTTGGGGATCGGCCTGGACTCCATTTCATGTTATGTTGTTCACTTATTTCACTGCGGGACCCTCCGGGTTACATTAAACGTAATGTGAGGAGTACCTCTCCCCACTGATAGGAGGTCCCTGACAGTGGGACAGTCAAAGCAATACAGTTGTGGTGAAGTGTGTTAACATTGGAACAGTTACAGAGTTTACAGGAAGAGAAGTGTGAATCATCTCCCATCTCAGATACTTGCCAGATAGGTCTGTATCCTCACCTAATGCGAACAGAGACAACATTATGCCTGCGGACCTTAAGTCTATGTCAACAATACTTGTGTGGATAAGGAAGAAAGTGATTGTAGTGTTGGACGGATAAATTTTCAGCCTGTTCACTATCCCTGCGATAGATTGTAGGGAGAAGAGTGGCCGAACATATTCTCTTTCCGTAGGTCATGTTGGGCTTATATTTAGGCCTAAAGATCCTGATTGCACAGCCATAATTTCGAGAATCAGTTATTGATTAATCTCAATAAAAAGATTTGTAAATAAACATGTGTAATGCTATGTCTTTTATTTTTATCTTTAGTTAATTATTTTTTGTATCATTTATTGAGGATATATTTTGATATTTGAGACAATTAATAATTTTTTATTACTTTATGAATAAGATACTTATTTACTTCTACCTGAGTAGAGCACATTGATCTTTGGATACAGTACTTTTACTTCTACGTGAGTATCATTTTGCCAATGTAACCGTACTTTTACTTAAGTAACAAAGTCTGGTACTTTTTACAACTCTGGCTGAGGGACACTGGATGTTGGTCATGAGGAAGAACCTGGTTCCCTCTCAGTGTTTCATAGGTAAGAAGATCTTGGTTAAGTTTCTTAATGGCATAATTGAAGAGTACTCATTAGCCCACGTTTATGCGGGTACTCCTTAATTTACTGGAAATATTACTGCAATTTGCAAAGACATTCCTTTATATGACTTAACCAATGGAAACATAACAGGAGCTACACCTCTTCAGCAGCCTACAGTGGGATCAGTTGTGACGAAAGCTGCAGCCTAAAGATCTTTGCAGCCTCTCAAAATGTTAAGGAACTACAATCTTCCCGGAGGATTGAACGTGGACGCCCAAGAAATGGAAGATGAACAGAAAGCTGATGTCGATCTAGGAAGGTGGTTTTACCTCGGAGAAAAAGGTGAGCTTACGGGGGAAAGAGAAATATCAAATTCATCACTGATAATGGACTTCTGTATAGAGTGACTATTGATGTATATGGGGAGCATAGTCAATTGGATTTACCCAAGAAATCAGGCAGGTCGTGATGAAGCTGGCACACGAAAGTATGCTGGGAGGACATTTTGGGGTGTGGAGAAAACTGTGCGACCCATACAACAAATTTTTCCTTGGTCTAGTATGATTGCAGAGGTCAGGAGGTTTTGCCAACCCTGTGATCAGTGTCAGAAGACCATTCCTAAAGGTAAAGTTGGTAAAGTTACCTTAGGAGAAATGCCCCTAATAAAAACCCCTTTCAAGGGAGTAGGAGTTGAACTGGTAGGACCCATCACGCCACGGAGTGGTGCAGGTAACAAATATGTTTTGACCATGGTCGATTATGTTACTCCTTATCCTGAGGCTGTCCCATTACCAGGTATTGAGACTGAGCCTGTGGCGGAGGTGCTACTGGATATATTCTGCTGGGTGTGGTGTCCCGAAGGAGTTAGTCTCGGACTGAAGTTCGCACTTCACATCTGGCTTGATGGTGGAAGTACGGCAATTACATACCATGCCATGGGAAATGGTCTTGTAATGATTGTTTATCAGACCATAGCTCACAGCCCAGAAACAACAGCACATATAGCAGTAAGTAGATGAGCAGGTGTACACCCACGTAAGTTGATACACCCTACAGTGAAATTAAGACCCGACCCAGGTAAGGTACCTGAGTTAACCCGGCGTTATGACCGTTTTAAAGAAACTACACCTGCAAGACACATCCTGGTGGTAATAATTAGGAAGCATTACCGACTGGCGCCATGACCACGCACCTGGGCAAACACAGCTGTCCAGACCTGACCCAAGTAGAGGTCATGGTCTCAATGACCCAGAGTTCTCACCGCTGTATCATTAGCTAACCCGGCGACATGACTGAGTTACTCAAGAAGCTACCCTCCAGCCAGTACACCTGTTACCTGGTCAGACACACCCAGATTAGTGACGACATCTTCCGGCTCGTGACCACCAATATAAGACCCTCCAGTGCCTTCCACGCATTATTAGCATTCGGATCATTATTGTAACAGGGAAGGGGCCGACAGCTCCTTCCCAGAGGGAGACTTCCCTCCCCAGCACCAAGTCTCCAGCTAGCAGAGTCTCCCATAGGAAACATAGTCCAGTAGCACCAGCAGCTTCCCCAGCCGCTAGGCCTCCCTCAGGTCACACGTGAGTCATTGTCAGAGCGATCCAAGGGTGAGTTACTTACGGTGGGAAGTGTATCCATTTCATGTTTGTGTCCGAGAGTCAGTGTCAAGTAACTTCGATATATTGATCTATTAATGTGTTCATGCCATTGAGTTGAATAATAAATAGCTGTACTTAGAATTGGTGTTTAGAAAATTTCCCCTTAAAATATATTAACAGTTAAATAACTAATTGGCCACGCTACCAAACTTTCCTCATTTTATCTTACAACTTATAACTTCTAAGTATTATTTCTACTCAAGATTTCCCCTCATTATAGTCTGGTCGAGAAATTCAATGGGACCCTTAAATCCATGCTTAAAAAAAATCCAAACAGCCTACTGCCTGGGATCGTTAGCTTCCTGCAGTCTTTGTTCACCTACCAAGAAGCTCCACAGGCGAGTTTGGGATTTTCACCGTTCAAACTCCTGTATGGAAGGGCGGTCAGAGGGCCGGCCAATCACCATTTTGCACCACTTGTGGGATTGACAGCAGACTGATGGTGTGAGTACTGCTTACCAATACGTATTTGATTTAAAACATAGCTAGAAAATACCTGCAGGTTGGCTCATTAAGAGGTACAGTATGTAATATCAAGGAAAATATAAATTCTACTATGATAAAGCTTCAGTTGATAAATAATTTCATGTGGGGGATGACATTTTGTTTCTCTTGCATACAGTTTCAAACATATTGCTCGTAAAGTGAAAGGGTCCTTATAAAGTTGTTAGGAAGAAAGGCCAAATGGATTATGAAATACAGATGAATGGGAAGACTAATTTATTTCATGCTAACATGTTAAAGAGATGCATTTCTAGGGTGGAAAATGCTTCAGAATCGTGTGCTACCAACGTGGAAGAAGTCTTTACAACGATACTGGAAGAATGCGACGAAAAGAAGGAACCTTCGGCTGTCTCTTCCTTCACTGGTCCAAAAGAAAACTCACCAGGATGTCCGTGACTTTCACCCTGACCAACAACAGCAGGTCAGACAGTTATTACAAAAGATCAGTGAGGTGTTGTTAGATATTCTGGGTTGTACAAACTTACCACAACATGCTATTAAACTTTTGCAGGATGAGGCCTTATAAAATACCTCATGCTATCAGAGGTGAGGTGAATACGGAGATAGCAGACATGTGGGGAGCGGGCATCATAGAACCTTCAAGTTCTCCATATTCCACACCCATTGTGGTTGTAAAAAGTCTGGTAATTCACATATGATTTGTCTTGATTTCAAAAAGCTTAATGCCATTACAGATTTTTCGTAGTGAACCAATGAGTGACCCTGACCATATCTTTGCTCGCCTTAATGGTTGCAATTATTTTTCTAAGCTAAATTTGTGTAAAGGATATTGGCAGTTACCTCTAAGTGATGATAGTAGGGAGTACACGGCCTTCCAGACAGATTTAGGTTTCACTTTCGGGTTTTACCCTTATGGCCTGATCAATGCTCCCGCTACCCTTAATAAGCTCATGCGCACGATGTTCAGGGGATGAAGGGAGTGCAACATTTTTTGGATGATCTGATAGTGTACACTCACACATGGGAAGAACACTTAGATGTGTTGCAGGATGTGTTTGAGCAGTTATTTAAGGCAGGGTTAACAGTAAAGCCTTCTAAATGTTTTATGAGAATGATTAAAGTGAAATAGCATAGACAAAATCAGTAGAGACAGTATGTGGCCCATGAGGGACTAAGTTGAGTATTTACTGTAGTTCGTCATAAAACAAAGAGAGAACTTTGGTCCTCCTTAGGCTTAACCGGATACTATACCCCATTATGCTACTGTTGCAGCACCATTGATGGAACTGACAGGAAGAAGAAAGCCAAAAACTTGTAATTTTTTATTTGTCATTGTAAATGTACGGTGGCGGGATTTGAAATTACCCATTGTTAAATGTGATTGTAACTTTTGGTTGATTATAACACAAACAAAACAAAACACACATACACACAACCTTAGACAACACACAAACATCACAGCACTGCATGTCACTCATTCATCAAACGACTGTCATTCATGCTACAATATTGTTTATTTGTTATTGATTAATTAGTAAAGATACATTACTCTAATAAAGTCAGTCTATCATGATGTATGTTTCATTCTCTGTGTGAAAAAAAAAACTTCCTTATATGTTTTTTTCCTGACATCTTGGCCAGCTTAGAACTGTAACCTCTTGTGTTGGTGGCCTGTGTTATAGTTTCCAATCCCATTCAAAAATTTTATTATCTCCATGGGATCTGTCCTACCGTGTCTTGCCTGAAGCACAATATATATATACCTCCTCATTTATTTTTCCAGGGTTGCAGGAAATGTTGGAGCAAACACACTTACTTTGGCAGAAAGTTTGGGGTTAGCAGAGAGAATTTCAAGCATCAACTATAGCCACGTGTCCACAAATAGGATGATTCTCGTAAATTAGTTATGACTGTACATCTATATATAAGTGTACCCTCGAAGATCTGGACTTAAAGGGGGACCACCTGTCTGAAAAAGTCAATTGTCTGTCTCTTCCGGCGAATGTAACTAAATGTATAAAAACGATAAATAATGACATACAAGACACCAAAAATACAGTACTGTGGTTTATGGCAGGGAGTATTTAGGAAAAAACTTTTGTGTGTATTTTCCTCCCGTAGCCATAGTTTTCTTAAGATAATATATACAGTAACAGGAAATGAGGAATAAATAAAAATAATAACAATGAATAAGTTACAAAAAATATATTGAATTGTATTGCCAAATCAGTAAAGAAAAGCTAAATGAAAGTTTAACACAGTCGCCATTTGCTTACACTCCCTGCTTCACCACAGTTACAAAGACCAGGTGGGACGCCGATTTCCTAGCAACGCTCCCCATCCCCTACACCCTCCTGCTCCGTTATCAAGCCAGCTAACTTGTGTGCAAATAAATGTAGTCTCGTTCAAGATTCTTCGAACACTGCTGGAGACAGCTGGCAACCCGAGGCCGTCTGTTTACTATACGACGTAGTAAAACTTTTGAATAAGTGTAAAGGTTAGGGGTGATTGGTTACTCAGTTCCCTTTGCTTAATTTAATGGTTGGGCTTTGTTGTTTCGTATTACACTACATACTGTAGTTAACAAACGGCCTTGAGTTGCCAGCTGTCTCCAGCAGTGTTGGAAGAATCTTGAACGAGACTACTACAAATTACTACATTCCCTTTACTTTTTTTTTTTTTTTACGGGAATTAACCCACCCGGGCACAGGTTAAACGACCCACAACGGGGCCTGGGGGGCGAAAAAATAAGAACAGAAAGAAATTGAAAATAGAGAAGAAAAAGGTTATACTGTGTTGATCTACACCACGAAGATGCCGGAAAACCATATTTTTAAAGTGAGACAGATTGTATAAGTATGGAAACACAGAAGAAGGCAGAGCATTCCACAGTTTGGCTGTGTGAGGAAAGGAGGTACTATAACGGGTTATTCTCGAGTGACCAGGGCCGGATTCAGGAGTGGGCAAAGTGGGCAGCTGCCCAGGGGCCTCCACAATCTGGCGGCCTCCACATATTACAATATTTTATTTATTTGTTTATTCATTTGGATTATTTTTATTTTCATTCCTTAAAATTCATGTTTTTCTATTCCATCACGTAAAACTATGTTCAGCAAGAAGCGTGATAGAGATTAGGCTAGCTACTCCTTGAAATTTATGAATACCTGGTTTTCCTATGAACCGTATATTTTTAATGAATGCTATCGTTTGTGTTGCTAATAATATATTTAGAATTCCACAAACATATATTGATTAAAAATGAACTTCATGGAATAACGAAATTGAGATTAAAAAAAATATATATTTTTTTCATTATCACTTCCATTACAAATGGAAACCACGACTTGAAACCACATGAATGACTCCAGTCATGTCTCACTTTTGTGTGTGTGTGTGTGTGTGTGTTGGGAATTTGTATACTATCAATAAATATACAGTTAATTAAAAAATTCTCAATGTTCTAATTTCCTCAATATAACTGCATATGGCTTCAAAATTCTCCAAAGAAGTGTTCAAATTTAAAAATTTTCCCGGGGGGGCTTACAGCGCCCCCCCCGAAACTCCCAGATGTTTAGGCTCGCTTCACTTGCCACCCCACCCTCTTGGGTAGTTATAATGAGGGGGCCTTCACAAAGAGGCTGCCCATGGGCCTCCACAGGTCTACATCCGGCACTGTGTAACGTCATCAAATTACAGCCAATAGGAGAACAGAGCAATCAGTCAGCACAACACCCCAACTTATGTTTTGCTGTTGGATATTTATTCTCGTTTCACTATTTAAATTCTGGGAGATATGACATTAAATAAATACACCGCCCATCGCATTTTCAGTATTATCGCAACCTGAACAATAAAAAGGAGAATAAATATCCAACAGCAAAACATAAGTTGGGGTGTTGTGCTAATTGATTGCTCTGTTTTCCTATTGGCTGTAATTTGATGACGTTACCTCTTATTCCACCAATCACAGTTAAGTAAGAGATTAGTGGAAAAATGCAATATGTACAACTTCACTATCCGTTGTTTTGGGGCGTCGCCTCCCCTAGGAGGACCTATTGTGAGCCACAGGCCTTGGCAGGGTCCCTGGGAGCAGTGGCGCCCCATAAAGAGGCCTGGGGGGAGCCAACGCCTATGGAAGGGCTCCTGAAGGCGCCACCGCCCCTGGCAGGGGCTCTGGGAGCACCACGGTCCCTAGGAACGTACCTTGACGCACCCCCGTCCCTGGAAAGACCCATGGGATCACGGCTGTCCCTGTTAAAGCCCCTAGGGTCGCCACCGCCCCTAGCAGGGACCATGGGGCACCGCCGTCCCTGTGAGGGTCCATAGGAGAGTTGCCGTCACTATGAAGGTCCTTAGGAGCGTTGCCATTCCTGAAAGGCCCATGGAAGCTCGGCCTAATACTAGAGGAACCCCTGAGGATGCCGCCTTCCCTAAAGAAGCCCCTAGGATTACCCTTGTCCCAAAGAGCGCCCCTGGTGGATCCAGCGCCCCTGACAGGTCACCTGGGGCCACCGCTGACCCTGAGAGGGCCCAGGAGGCACTTCCGTGCCTGGCATGGTAAAGTGAACCTCACAGGGATAGCAGCGATTCCAGGGTTCCTTACAGGGACGGGGGCGCCTTGAGTGGTGTTCCCAGGGACAGAGGCGCCCCCCCAGGGGCCCTACTACAGCGGTGGCGCCTTCAGGGGCCCTTCCAGAGGCGGTGTCTCCTCTAGGGTCTCGCTATGGGGCGCCACTGCCCACAAGGACCCTGCCATGGGCTGTGGCGCCCCTATGGGCCCTCCTAGGACCCGCAGTGCTGCTATGGGCCCTCCTAGTCGCAGTGCGTGCCTTTCCAGGGTCGGCAGGGTCTCTGCCAGAGGCGATGGCGCCCCCAGGGGCCCTTCCACATGTGGCATCGCCCCAAAAACTTCCTAGTTTTGTCGTACATTTTGCATTAGTCCAGTAATCCCTTACTTAACTGTGATTGGTGGAGCAAGATGTAACATCATCAAATTACAGCCAATAGGAGAAGAGAGCAATCAGTCAGCACAACACCCCAACTAATGCTTTGCTGTTAGATATTTATTCTCGTTTCACTATTTAAATTCTGGGAGATATGACGTTAAATAAATACACCACCCATCGCATTTTCAGTATTATCGCAACCTGAACAATAAAAAGGAGAATAAATACCCAACAGCAAAACATAAGTTGGGGTGTTGTGCTAATTGATTGCTCTGTTTTCCTATTGGCTGTAATTTGATGACGTTACCTCTAATTTCACCAATCACAGTTAAGTAAGAGATTACTGGAAGAATGCAATATGTACAACATCACTATCCATTGTTTTGAGGCGCTGCGTCCCCTACAAGGACCTATTGTGAGCCACAGGCCTTGGCAGGGTCCCTGGGAGCAGTGGCGCCCCCATAAAGAGGCCTGGGGGGAGCCACCGCCTGTGGAAGGGTCCCTGAAGGCGTCATCGCCGCTGGCAGGGTGTCTGGGAGCACCACGGTCCCTAGTAACGTACCTGGAGGCGCCCCCGTCACTGGAAAGGCCCATGGGATCACGGCTGTCCCTGTGAGGGCCCCTAGGGTTGTCAGCGCCAATAGCAGGGCTCATGGGGGCGCCGCCGTGTCTGTGAGGGCCCCTAGGAGCGTTGTTGTCCCTAAGAGGCCCATGGAAGCTCGACTGTTTCTGAAAGAGCCTCTGAGGACGCCGCCTTCCCTGAGAAGGCCCCTAGGATTGCCGTTGTCCCTAGGGCGGCCCTGGTGGATCCAGCACCCCTGACAGGTCCCCTGGGGGTACCGCCGACCCTGGGAGGGCCCTGGGGGCGCCTCCATGCCTGGCAAGGCCAAGTGACTCTCACAGGGATAATGTCGTTCCCAGGGTCCCTTACAGGGACGGGGGCACCTTCAGGGGTGTTCCTATGGACGGCGAAGCCCCAGGGGCCGTACCACAGTGGTGGCGTCTTCAGGGGCCCTTCCAGAGGCGGTGTCTCCTCTAGGTTCCCTCTATTGTGCGCCACTGCCCAAAAGGACCCTGCCAGGGGCTGTGGCGCCCCTATGGGCCGTCCTAGGGCCCACGGCACTGCTATGGGCTCTTCTAGTCGCAGTGGGTATCTTTTCAGGGGCGGCAGTGTCTCTGCCAGGGGCGACAGCGCCCCCAGGGGCCCTTGCACATGCGGCATCCCCCCCAAAACTTCATAGTTTTGTCGTACATTTTGCATTAGTCCAGTAATCCCTTACTTAACTGTGATTGGTGGAGCAAGATGTTTCGTCATCAAATTACAGCCAATAGGAGAAGAGATCAATCAGTCAGCACAACACCCTAACTTATGCTTTGCTGTTGGATATTTATTCTCGTTTCACTATTTAAATTCTGGGAGATATGACGTTAAATAAATACACCACCCATCGCATTTTCAGTATTATCGCAACCTGAACAATAAAAAGGAGAATAAATATCCAACAGCAAAACATAAGTTGGGGTGTTGTGCTAATTGATTGCACTGTTTTCCTATTGACTCTAATTTGATGACGTTACCTCTTATTCCACCAATCACAGTTAAGTAAGAGATTACTGGAAGAATGCTGTACAACTT